ATTGATCTAAGGTATACTTATGTCCAGTTATTTTATTCATTCTAAATTTTACGTAATCTAATTTAAGGATAAAGTATGCGCCATATTTTAATTTAATATGTTTTTTACATATTCGCGTATTTGTAATATATTAAATTGGCTAGGTAGTAATTTTTATATTATTGTATTAAATTAAAGAAATATTATGTTGAATTAAATCAGGTCAAACTATCTTATCATTCATTATTGATCTAAAATATAAATAAAAGTTATTTTTATTATATATCAGAATACTTCTTTTCTGAGTTATGAATATAAATGAAATTGTTTGATTTAGTATGTGGTACAAAAAAAAAAAAGTTTTAACACAATTTGTAATAATTTACTCATAAATAAAAATGAATAGAATTTTTGCAGTACACTTCAGTTGTCGTTTTCATTATGAATCTTTACAATTTACATGTATAAAAAATTTAATAACGATACACGACGATTGCATATAAAAAATTAATTTATGAAATATTTGTTTGAAAACTAAATTTGAAATTGTATCTTTATCAATTAAAAATATAAGATAAGATAATTTATTAAATTTTTCAGTATTATATGTAGAGTTAATTAAAAATAATCAACTCATATGCAGGGTGATATATTTTATTTACAATATTTGTTCAAATTTTTTTTTTATTTTTATCTTCTCTAATATATTATTTTTATTCCATTAATGTATATAATATTAAATATCACATGCTTATAATTCTAATATATTTTAATATGTTATTTGAGATTTTTAAATAATTCATACAGCTCTAATTAAGTATATTTTTTTAATTATGAAATTAATAATGGATATTTAATTATTTAAATAATTTTAATCTAACTATAAATAACTTTTCAAACAATGAATTATAAAACATATAATTTAAAGCTTTTTAAACTAAATATTTAATATAACAATTCAATATAATTTATTTAAGAATATTACATTTATTGAGTAATATTCTATTTTCTTATGATATTATTTAAGATTAAACTTTTCTTCTAACGCGAAGGAAACAAGATAAGTAAAATTTTATATTCGTTTGCAAGACAAATTAAATAAAACTTTTATGATTAAAATAAATATAGAACAAGTTAAATGTCAAATCATTTATTTAATGATAATATATATTTCTGAAATATACTTTCTACTATTTTTTATAAGTTTCACCACAAAATTCGATCTCTACTAAATAATATATAATGATACATATCATTAATTTTTTTTAATTTTTATTATCTTTTATTAATTATACGGTATCATTTTTTATTTATAATACTTGATTACCTTTCAATGTATTTTATAAATGTACAAAATCAATAAAATGTAGTTTCTAATTGTAATAAATATTTTTTTTATCATATAATTTGAAATACTATAATTAATTTTATGAGTTGATAAAATAAAAGTAACTGTAAAAATTTTGAATATCAACTTAATTATATCAAATTTTATAATGGCTTTATACTTAACAAGAATTATAATATCATGTCACGATATTAAATATTCATTATAATTGATTATAAAAAAAATATTTTTATCTGGAATTATTTTATAAAGTATTTTTAATAAAGTATAAAATCTTTTTTATCTAAGCGAATTAATTTAGTTTAAGTTGCAAAATAAAGGTAGCTACTTTTATTCCAAAAGAACCGTCTATATTGAACAATAGTACATTAAATGAGCTCAATTATTTTAAAGGCATTTTTTATTTTTTTTTCTAACGATTCATTAAACTTAAGAAATGTTTAGTAAATAAACTTCTATCTCGGTTGTTTAAATATGTTCATGGTAACATGAGAATTATTTTTCTTAAAATTTATGTTTTTTAAGTTTGCACAAAAAAACATATCACAAGAATTTTTAAATTTCAAAAAGTAAAATTTGTTCTGATTTTAGGTTCTTCAAGAATAAAAATAAAAAAAACAAATATTTATTTTTTATGTTAAATATCATAAATATTCTGATAGTACAATAGTATTATAGTTATCGCCAATGAAATCACTAATTTTATTATCTAGTTTTTTAATTTCAAAGTGCTAGATTTAGACAGAATCGTATAAGACAAAGCTTTAATACGATCCATTAGGAATAGTATATATATATATATATATATATATATATATACGTGCAGATACATGTACGTAGCTATCGTTAAATGACGTCATATACTTTAGATGCATTCAGTGTACAGCGTTGAATCGCTCACAGATGCCGACACATACATAAACATATACACT